AAAACTACTTTATATTAACAGTTTTTTGAAATGATCATGAAGGGAAGAAGAAAGACAGGATTATGATATTATTCCGTATTTATTTTCCACTTCAGAATAACAGAGCACTTTCCCATACATGATCTCATTTTACACTATTTCAATAGGTGGGCCTGTGGTGGATAAGTGAAGAAAGGTGCAATTAAGAAAGATAGTTGAAGATGCAGATAGAAGATGAAGTAATGAATGAAATTAGTTTTCTAAGGAGATGGAAGAGGGAAGAATTTAGAGCTGAAAAAGGCTAGGAATACCTCTAATTTTGAGAAAGAAAAGAAGAAAAAGTGAATTCAGGAAAAGATAGGAACATTTTGAGGTAAAAATAGTTTAGAAAGATTCATGACTAAAAGGCATGAAAGTTATCAAGGTAACCTTGAATTGAGGGCTGAACTGACAGGAGAAATGTGAAATGAGTGGGAAATAATGATGTTGGCATAAAAAGTCAAAACACTGACTCTTCACCCAGTCACAAGCTCTCCATATCTCTAATTCAGTATAGTAGTTGTCCCACTAATGTAATGATGAGTGGTCACTGAACCACTGGAGGCAAGGGCAAACAGTTCGATGTCTTAAATAAACCCAGCAAAGCCATTAAGAAAAGTTCATTCACTATACAATCCAATTTATAAGTCTGCTTTGAGTACCACTCCCCCAAGCCCGTGCTACAAGAAGGAAAAGCATTATCTGTTAGAAAAATGCTTTCTACCAGGACAAGACATCCTGTAATTTTTCAACCGACAGGGATGTTAGTCTGTGGTCTAGCCTCAAGTCACTTTCTTTAGAAAGTTTTGCTTTCTCTAAGATAATGCCCAAATGTTTATAACTTCCTTCTTTAAATAGTATGCATATTAAGAAATAAATTTAAGTCTGTAGTATATGAGATAACACAATTGGGGGACAAAAGTATGACAGGCCTCCCTTCCTGGCTGGGCCATCCTGTGACATGTTCACTCAGGGCTCATGGCATCTCAGCCAGACATTCTGAGATTCTGGCCTCTTGGCTCTTTGAACCATGTCTACCATTAAAATATTAATTTCTCACCGGGCATGGTGGCTCACGCCTGTAATCCCAGCACTTTGGGAGGCCGAGGTGGGCAGATCACCTGAGGTTCAGAGTTTGAGACCAGCCTGACAAATATGGTGAAACCCTGTCTCTAATAAATAAATAAATAAATAAAATATTAATTTCTCTATTATATCTCATTGAAGGTAAAGGTTATGATTTTTGCTTGCCCAATACACTTCCCTCTATTTTAATGACAACAGTAACATGTTCTTTCTTTCCTTTTTTTTTTTTTTTTTTTTTTTTGACACAGCTGTGCTCTGTTGCCCAGGCTGGAGTGCAGTGGTGCAATCTCCACTCACTGCAACTTCTGCCTCCCGGGTAAACAATCCTCCCACCTCAGCCTCCCAAGCAGCTGGGAGTACAGGTGTGCACTATCATGCCCAGCTAGTTTTTTGTGTTTTTCTGTAGAGAAGAGGTTTCACCATGTTGCCCAGGCTAGTCTCAAACCCGTAACGTGGTGTGCTCTTAATTGGATCAATTCTATTACCCTGTCTTCCTGGCTTAGTGATTGGTTTAGGGAAGAGTATGTGACCCAAACTGATTCAATGTAAATGGTTCTTAGGATTGTTTTCAAACTGTAGACAAAGACAAAGAAATCCTCTTTCTTTGCTGGTGGAACTGCTGTTAGGATGAGATGTGTGATTATAGTTGCTAGGAATCATGTCCCCCATGGCACAAAGAAAGCTCATCTGCAAAGAGAACTGGAAACATATTTCAGAAATAGAGAGGATAAGCCCTAAAACTATACTTGCTACTCAGTCCAGATATCCACAGGATCAGCTGTCCCCATTCTATGTTTGGGTGACATCAGCCAGCAAATTCTCCTTTTTGTGTGATCAAGTTGGAATTCTGTCATTTGCAAAGTAGCCCAACTTGTACACAGAATGCCTTATACTTTTAAGGTGCCCAATAAACATATATTGGTTATCTGGTTGGTTTGATGTCAGTATTTTTTACTGTATCTTTTGCTTCAATACTTTGCACTCTATAACTTCATTCTCAATAAGGTTTGTTCAAAACAAAGTCTGCAGTTTGCCTGTAATAACTAGGTACCCTAACCCCCTATACTGGCATGATGAATATGTCTGTGTTTCAGTTCCCTAACTTATAAAATATGGCAAATAATAATAGCAGCTACTTATTTAGCATCTGCTAAATTCCAGGTGCTGGTCTAATACTTAACATACATTATCCTAATTCTTATGGCAACTTTATGAGACATGCGTAATGATCCTCATTTTATGGTAGAGGAAGCTGAGAGGCAAATGAGGTTAAATGAAGTGACCAAAGTAATACAGCTTGATTGGCAGAATTCAGATTCATACCCAGGCTTGTTTGAGTCTGTGTTCTTTTGAATGTTCTATGTATGATGTCCTACTTCTTCAAAAAGCTTTTTTTGTATGTAATAAGATAATGCAGGTAAAATTGCTCTAAAAATAGAAAATGTTTAGAAATCATTCTCTAATTGACAACCAAAAAACACAAAAATGGGCTCAAATGTTAAGAAGGAGAGATTTAGGTTAAGGGGAACATTGTGACTACCCAAATTATGGCATTAGAAACAGTAATTAAAAAAAATAAATGCTGAATTTCATATAAATGTGAAATTTTATGAAGAGGGAAAGTGCAGCCAGGATTCTGTTCCGTTTCTTAAACCTTGAGAAAACTTGGAAGGACACAGGTAAGTCAGCATTGCTAAGCTAGGGAGAACCAGATCTCACTTCTCATTTTCCTCATTGGACCATTGATACCAGCATGTGGAATTCCTTTGTGGTCCTGTTGATGGACAGTACTTATAAAATAATGAACATTCTGACTTACAGATCTCGATGGCAATATCAGTAATGTTTAAAATGAACAAACATATGTACTTATGCTGTCCACATAGCATGAAAATATATATAAACCTAATTTTTGTGTAAGTTTAACTGAAAGAAACATAAGGCCAAATCAATGTGTTAAATGACATTTTGTAGTAAAATCCTTGTGTTTTTCAGCTTGTAATTACTATTTTAAACAATTTCAAGGGAACCAACCACAGTATGAACTGTCTGTTTTATGTCCATTTTCTTCATTAGACTGTGAGTGCTCTGGGTACAGAAACTGTGCCCCACATATCTTCTTACCCCTAGAATCTAGCACAGATAAAACTTGGCATATGTCATGCAGGGTTGTGCTATCACTTTTATGGGTCCCAGAAACTTTTGCCTTCATGGGCCCCTTCCTCCATTAAAAAATACTTAAAATTATATTTTATGATTATGCTGGTATGAAAATGAATATATTAGTATTATACATAAATACTTTCTTTGACTTTTTTCTTCTGATTTTAAAAGATTGTTTTCAGAGGCCTCTAAAGGTATTGTGGACCCCAGGTCCTATGCCTACCTTACTTAGGGATAAGTCAGTCAAGTCCTACGTGTTAAACATATTTTTGTTGACTGAATGAAAGGAATAAATGACTTAAAGTTAACTTGGTGGTAGTGATTCTTAGAGCTTCTATTGTGGAGTAACTTTCAGCTTAAAAAATGTTTCAAAAGCAACTAATTAATAAAATCACCACGACATACTAATATTCATTTAATCTGAAGCCAACTATGGAAATTCAGTATTGTAAACAAAATTAAAACCCAAGGGCAGTGTAGAAGAAGGCTGTCAAAGTGGCAAAATAAATATTTTAAAATAATAATCAGAGGTTGCTGCAATATTGAACAAACATAGCACACCTCTTAAATAGAGAAATTTAAATATTTTCTTTTTAAAATTCTGACATTCCAAAAGAGTCAGTTCAGAAGGTAGATACTTTAAAAAACATGGGTTTATACTTGGAACCACATAGTTATTGACCAGAATTTAGTTAAGCATGTGCCTGGAACGCTAGACCTGCTGCCTTGAACAACATTGCTTTTGGAACTCAGCATCTCTCCACTGTTGCTTCCAGAGACAGCTTTTTAAAATGGAAAATTGATTGATGAAATCTTAGGCATGAATAAATGCTAATGCATCTAATAAATTAAAATACTGTCATTTTATAAGAAAGGTTTATTGGCTAACTGTGCTATTTCTTCTAGTAATTTAAAGTCTAGTGTTTAATTTACAGAATGAAATGCAGAAATCAATTACTTGGTCAGTAGTAAGGTGAAATTGATTTTCAAGAGTATGTTTTGGGATGCAACCAGGCTGACTTATCCACTGACTTAAAATGTAGAAGGTCATATCTGAGCAGTTTTCCCCCCTGCTTCTGAATGTATTGAACATTCAGAATGTTCAAAATATGAGGAAGCATCTTTGCATTGTCTGGATGGGGTTGTGCGCAGATTAATATCTGGATAATAATTCAGATTTACCCTTCAAAAAAAAAATCACACATATAAAGTAGTGCTAGTATTTATAGGATGGGCATTTACCAGAACAGCTCTTAAAGGCTATATAATAAAATTGCATTAAGGCTGCCTAAATTAATTAACCATAGATACTGAAATGAATTCAGCGAATGGATTCTGCTTCCCCAAAGAGTATTCTCTTTTAATAATAATTTTAAAAGCAAAAACATGTTTTTCCTCCTCTTTTTCATGATATGTAGCCACCTGACCAAGAGTGGGACTGGGAGGGAGACTGTCCCTACCACCCAGGAGAAAGCTAGAGGGAGAGGTCATCTAGTGATCATGCTCCTGCTTCTCCTCTCCAAGGGCAAAAGGCTGCCTCAGCAGCTGTCACATCCTGCTGCCATTTGAAACAGAAAACCAGTCTAGAGTTTCACACTTATCTCCAGCTTTGCATTACCAAATTGGCAGTCTTGCTACACCCTAGTAAATGCCTTTCATAGATAAATGTGGTGAAGGCTCTAGGGAATGGTGAATGGCGAGGGCATTTGTGTTTAGGAAGGGGTAGTACCTGGCTCAGCTGTCTGCCATCCACCAGATGTTTATGGAGATGACACAAGCACAGAGGAGGAAGAGAATATACAAGGTCACTTGGTCCATCTCATGCAGGCAGGCAGAATTATATCTTTGTGCACAGTCAACCATAGAGTCTTGTGAGGGGGCTGCTAGTTATGCAAAGGCACATCATGAAAGACTTCAAAGATCTCCATTGTGGACTCACAAATCACAGTTAGTCAACTCCCCTTCTAGTCAGACCAGCCTTGGTTTTCCCATATTTCTCATACAATGTCCTGCTTTGGCCATCTTACTGCTCATTAGCAGTTCCAGCAGAGGGCAGGAGGGGTAAAGGAGAAGAGTCGTATATTATAGCCGAAGATCTCTTCTGATCGTGTTAAGGCAAATTTTCTGGATTACTTAGAGCAACAGATGTCTTTCTGTCCATTTTTTTTTTTTAACTATCTGTCTGTATAGGTATTTCTAGTTTTCAGAGTCTCTTCTCTCAAGGAATTTAAAACCTGGCTCAGGAAAGCAAAATGAGGACATATGAAATAATGAGAAAGCCATGCTATAAAGCCACGCTATAAAGCCACCCCTGTTATCCCAAGCAAAGTCATGGGTTTCAAGAGGAGGAAGAGAAGTCTTCATGCACTGAAGTTGGTGATAGCATTTGTACATTAAAAATATAAATTGAAGTCAATAATTAGTGCAGAGAAGTGAGACTCAGCAAATGGGCAGACTGTAATTGTTAAAAATTCTCTAAGCAGGCTTGGGTAACTGTCCCATGGACAGGACTTGTAAGCACCCAGTGAGAATGTGGTTTTTGTAGGGCAAAGGTCTCACTGGATCTCAGTACCAAGGCTTTGCGGTGATCAGCTGGAGTGAAGGGGCTGGGACACTGAGGATTGGTTGGCATTCCGGGAGGAAAAATATTTAGTATCTTTCCATATCATTCATTAAGGCCTGTGTGACGATGTCATGAGCAATTCATTACTGGGAGGTCTTCATCAGATAAACAGGGCTGCAAAATTCATGGCCAAGGAATGCGGGCTAGAGAGACACTCCCAGCTACAGCTGCTACCTGAACACCGAGAGCTGGCTGGGAACCAAGGAGACATGCTGAAACCAGGAGCCTCCGCGACCAGTGGCAGCGTTACAGCCGCTTAATCCTGAAATGAAAAGTAATTGCTTCTGGCTTAAAGAATAAAGGAAAAACAAGATCAGCCTGGCTGGATTACATTTTTTTCAAATACAACCATGCTAAAGACCAGATTCTTGCTTGGTATTTGAAAATGTGAGGAAATGGATGTTTTCTGTCAATGTAATTTAAATGTATCCAGGAGTATTGACATATAAGAACACTTGAATACAAGTATATTTTGATTAATATAATTAAATAAAATGTGTTTACTTTTACTGTAAAGGAGGACATCTAAAATTTAACTTACCTAATATAAATTTAAAAGATATTTCTTAAAAATAGCTCTTGCTTTGTATTTTGAAGCATTTTCTGCTGAAAAGTGTTGACCAAAGCTACCAGAGCTCCTTTTCTGTACAGATGAAACTGCGAATGGAGAAATATGGAAGAAAAGAGAGGGGAAAGGCATTTCAATACTTTTAATATATTTCTGTGATGAAATTGTCTTCTCTAGAGAAAAAAGAGTTCATAAAAATTCATTAAGGAAGAGCTGCAAATTTAAGTTATTGTTAAAATAATAGAAAGATAACTTTAACCCACAACTGAGTAAGCAATATTTGTGTTGTTACTCATTTACCTCTCAAGACCTACAGGATGGCAAATGTCAGGAGATGTTCTGTATATTGAGTCTGTATTTTCCTTGAAAGCAAGAGAGCAATGACACAGAGTAAAAACAAAGTAGAATAAGAGGAAAACAAATCTTGTTTTTATACTTCCAATGTTTAAATTATATGTACTCATTTAAGATATTTGTAGCAGACTCACAATGATGTACAGAGAATTAATTGAATTATATCTTGTATTCTAGAACTGAAGCTGCTTTGTTTCCTTTTGAGTCATATGAAATTGTCTACACAAATAGCAATTTCACATGGTTTAACCTAATACCATAAACCCTCACAGAAATTCTTCAACCAATAATGAGCAGTAAGAAATAAAACCTAGTTGGTTTTCCTGCCATCATTCTACATGAACACTAATATTATAAAACAAATATAACACATACTATCTTCTTGCAGGTGTTAACATTGAGAATATTCTGCATAAAAGAACAAAGGCTATTTACAGACATTGCTCACAGTTTGTGCTTCTGCTTCATTAACTCAAAACAGAAAAAAATAATTCTTATACCAGAAATTTTTTGGATACTACCAGGATGACTTAACCTAACAGAACAGCACCATGACTCTGACAATTGTGTCTGCTTCTTGTGAGCTCAGGCTGATGAACAGTTGGAAGGCCAGCCACAGACCAGATAACCTGACACGCAGTGATCACAAACATGAGGACTTATTTAAATAAAAGGTGTCATATGGCACATGAGGTAAAGAAACAGTCACGAATGGCTCTAAGAATGTAAAAAAATGGCCATGAGTTGTACTGTCTGTTGGTATATAATACACAGCTGGTGACCCAAAAAGCCATGGTATTTCCAAAGGCGAGGGACTATGGTACTTAGTAACACTTTGCAGATTCAAAATAAAAGAAGAGAAAGCAGTCCTTTTTCACACCAGTGCTCTATCAATCTCTGCCAAGAAAGGGCACTAAATGTTAAATTGGCCCTGATTTTCTTTTTCACATTGAACATGATTCAGATGTTAACAAGGTTTCCATTATCATTACAGAAAGGTTTTAGATAATCTTTCTGTTCTTGCAAAATATAATAATGTTCAAAGGAAATACAGATTTAAAGTATAATGTGAACATATATTTTAACTGAGATATACAATGATTGCAAATATTTAAATGATTAGGAAGTATATATTTATGGTATGTTGAATGCAATTTTAGCTCAATCTCTATGATACCTGCAGATTTAAGGCAATCTGTTTTCTACAGAAAAAATGATTATAAAATGTAATATAATTATACTAATGCAAATTCTCAAGTCATAAATAATTAAGTCATCAATGACACATTTTCTGTAAACACCAGATGACCTCAAGAGAAGCTAAGTTCTTTCTTCCCCCAGAGATTTCAAGTAAAGAGCCATCCTTTACTACCTGCATTTTGCTTTCTGGTGATGGAACTAGAATTACTGACAATTAAAATATAATTATCAGCATCTCCCTGGGTGAACTAACTCCCTAGTGTCTTAAAACTTGCCTTCCAAAAGGAAATACATCTCTTCAAATTATACTTCATTAAACGTAAAGCTTAATGAGCCTTTAAAATACAGTCTTAAAGTGGTTTCATTCTCCCCATCCCTTTGCCAGTATTTCCCTTCCTCTCTAAGCATCTTTCCCTTCTCCTTCTCCAGGGTGAATTTTGAAAAGATTCTTTTCAAAATTTCAAAGAAGGATAGCCAACAACACTATAGCGCTGACTTCCCTCAAGGATTTCTTCATCCAACCCAGCAGGTGGGGCCTATAAAAGACCTCACATACAACATTTGAAAAATACAGTAATCAGATTAAACCTACGAAGTTTTCCAGAATTGCTCTAATATCAACCTTTATTTCACTTCTTTTAAAGACAATTGATCATTTAAAGCAAATATAATACAACTTCTTATGGAGCTTTTAACTTATGTATAAGTATGACAATAGCACAAAGAACACATTGGAAGACAGAAAATTTGCTTTTGTGTATTTTATATACTACACATGCAGTATGTGATATCACAGTAGATTCTGCTAAGCTAAGAATGCATATTTCAGTCCCTAGGTCACCCAAAATAAAATAACAACATACAGTTTTCGAGCCAATAGAGGAAATATTTAAAAATTATTGAGCTCCCTGTGGTGGCTCACGCCTATAATCCCAGCATTTTCAGAGGCTGAAGTGGGCAGATCATTTGAGGTCAGGAGTTCGAGACCAGCCTGGACAACATGGTGAAACCGCATCTCTATCAAAAAATACAAAAATTAGCTGGGGTTGGTGGCATGTGCCTATAGTCCCAGATACTTGGGAAGCTGAGGTGGGAGAATCACTTGAACCCAGGAGGTGGAGGTTGCGGGGAACAGAGATTGGGCCACTGCCTTCCAGCCTGGGCGACAGAGTGAGACCTTATCTCAAAAAATAAATAAATAAATAAATCTCAAATCCAAAAGAAGGAAGAAAAGGAGAAACAAAGGAAACAAAGGAACAACAACAAAAAAGAGACAAAACAAAACAAACAGAGGGGAGAAAACAAATAGCAAAATACTAGATGTAGCTTCAACATCAAAAATTTTATTAAGTGTAAGCAAACAAAACATTCCAATTAACAGGCAGATATTATCAAACTGAATTAAAAAAAGAAGAACCAATGCTATAGAGTTTATAAGAGAGATGCTTTATGTATAAAGTATAAATATAAACAGCAAGTTAGAAGTAAAAGGGATAAAAAAGAATCTATTTTTATTTCATTGATCTACTTGTCTATCTTTTTACTATACCACAATAACTTTATTATTCTATCTTGAATTTAACAAGATTCCTAGGTAATTCATATATACATTAAATTTAAGAACTAATAAGTAGATACCCTTTTGAGGTATTCAGCAATGATAAAAATAAACTTCCTTTTGCTTTCTGGTAATGGAACTAGAATTACTGACAATTCAAATATACCAATTATTGCCAATTAGAGAGGAATATCAAGTATTGATTAAGCCACTTACCTAAGGCTACAAAAGTGGACCAGATCCCAGATTTCCTGAGTCCCAGACTATTGCCATGTCTACCAAAAATTCAGCTTCATAATTAAGTTTTACTCATTCAATAATAGTCAAGGAAAAAAGTAATTTCTATTTACCCACATATTTACCACTTCTAGCACTAGTCATTTTTAAAAATGTTGATCTGAGTTTCTATCTGGTGTCATTTCCTTTAGCCTGAAGAACTTCCTTTAATATTTCTTACAGTATATGTGTACCATGGATACATCCAGTTTTTGCTTGGCAGTGTTTTTCTTCTTTCCCTTCTTCTTCCCCTTTCTTTCCTTCCCTCCCTCCCTTCCTTCCTCCCTCCCTCCCTTCCTGTCTTCCTTCCTCTCCTTCCTTTCCTTCCTTTTCCTTCCTGTCTCCCTTCTCCCCTCTCCTCCCCTCCCCTCTCCTTCCCTTCTCTTCCCATATTCTCTTTTTTCTTTCATTTTTAAGGGATCTTTATCTTTCACTAAGTTTCTCATTCCAGGTTGACAGGTTTTCTTTCTTTTAGCACCTTAAACGTGTTATTCAATTGTCTTTTGGTCTACTGATAAGTCAGCATTGTTGTTCCCCTGGGTCTTGTGTAGAAAGGGTCTTTTTCTCATACTGCTATTAAGACTTTTCTCTTTGATCCTTGGCTTTCATAAATTTGGTTATAATGTGCCCAGGAGTGGTTTTCTTTGTTTTTTATCCTGCATGGGGTTTATTCAGATTCTTAGTTTATGGGTTAATATTTTTCACCAAATTGGGAATTTTTTCAGCTATCACTTCTTCAAATATATTTTCTGCCCCAATTTCTCTTTCATCTTTTTCTGGAACTCCAGTTTCACAAATGTTAGGCCACCTCATACTATTCCACAAGTGAGTGAAGCTCTGTTCATTTTTTTCAGTGCTTTTTTTACTATGTGCTTCAGCTCAGATAGTTTATACTGCCCTGTCTTCAGTGTCACTATTTTTTTTTTTCTTCCATGGACTCCATTTTGCTGTGAAGCCCATTTTTTTTTTTTTTCATTTTAGGTATTACATTTTTCAATTCTAGAATTTCTAGCTTCTTTTCTAATTTCCATTTTTCTGGTGAGAATTTCTCTCTATTGATTGGAGTCCATATTTTCTTTAAAATTTTAAACATATTTATAAGAACTGTTTTAAAGCCTTTGCTTGCTAATGTTAACAGATCTGACATCTCTGAGTATGTTTCTTTTGACTTAAAAAAAATCTACTGTTGTCATGCCTCTTCACATATCTAGTAATTTTTAAATTGTATGCTAGATATGAAATGCTACATTACCAGGTCTGGATTTAAAGAGTGTTTAGTTCTGTTATGTTAATTTACGAGTGGATACGCTTAATTTTTAGGAACCTGTTTTTAAGCTTTCTTTGGATGAATTTAGAATAGCCTTGAGTCCAGGGCTAGAGCAGCCCTGCTCCTCCTGCCTGGCCTTTCTGGGGTCTTCACTGAAAACCCGGGGAATCACTGAGAACATCTCCACTCAGAACATCTACATCTCCAGTTTTGTGCACCTTCTAGAATCTCCACCCAGCTTACAGCTCCCCAGTAGTTGTTTTCCACCAGACTTCGTAGAGTCTTACCCTGAAAGTGAGAAGCTTAGCATTCGACCAAAGACTTTATAGTACCCATATGCAGATTTCTGGACCTGTTTCTCTGTGCAGCTTTCTCTTCATTACCTTGACCTATAAATTTCAACCACCTCAACAGCCCTGAACTGTGATCTCTGT